GAGAGAGAGAGAGATAAATTAGACACAGATCCTCTTTTCATGGAGCTTGTAAAGATCTAAGATAGATAAAGTGTTCAGGGATTTATATTTTGTTTGCACGTAAAGAATTTCTTCATGATATCCAGAAAGTATATTTAGCCCCAGAAATTTTCCCAGTGACCATAGTTATTCTGAACTTTGTTTCCGTAGATGATAAGAAACAGCATTGGAGTGGAACAACAGTAAAGTGAAATTTTGGGTAGATCTAAGATTTGGAAGTGAAAATCTTAGCAGTCATTAATGGCCCTTTTTCTTTTGTTGTATTTAAAGTGCCTATTTGTCTAGTTTAGGAGAAATAAACTAATTGAATGTTATCTTTTGCATATAGCATAGCATTGCCTTTTCTTCTCATCCAAGTATATGATATAGCAATATATTAGAGCATTCTCATGAAAACCCATGAAATAATCCATTTTTTAGGACTGGAACTTTTTCTTGGCAGTCAAGATATAGATTAGAAAGCACAGATTTCACCCTGAGCCTAAAAAAGATTCATAAGTTTGAATAAGGGGAAGGACAACAAGCCTCAATGTTGATGCTTCTTCTTTAGTTTCTAGACCCTTCTGTGGAAAGAAGTGTTTTCATAAGACTCAGACAGAATTCATTTCCATAGAGCGTTCTTAATGGCTCCTGTCAGAACAAAACAGCTGGGAAACATATGGTATCCATTTCCCTGTATCACTTGGAAAAAATTTCACATGTAAATAAAGCCAACATAAAAGAGTAGCCCTTTGAACCCATGACCTGTTATAATATATAAATATATCAGTACAATGCACTCGTTGTATTGACCCACTAAGACAAGTACTTTAAATTTTTTAATACATTCTGAGATGCACATTTTTTAGAAGTTCCAAGGAAATTAAGGCAAATATTATCAAATACTATACCATAATAAGTATGTATCTCATAAATGTCTATGGATATTTATTTTTCCCAATAAAACATTTTTAGAAAGCTAATGAATAAAATCAAAGGCATATTTACACCTTATAAACTCTGTGTCCACTATCTGCTGTTTTATATAAGTAACCATGTGTTGTCAAGGAAGAGAGAAAGGCTTGGCAAAAATTTCTGGCAGACATTAATTTTTCATAGCTTCACATTTTTTAGAGAGAAAAGGATATATAAATGACAGAAAACCTTTAAATTTATAAGGGACCAACTGGAATTAGTCTTTGCCTTTGCATATTTACATTTCATAAATAACTTTAGAAAATCTAGCTCTTATTGGTGATTATCACTCCTCTGAGTTTATTAACAGGACTTTTGTCCCCTGTGAAATTAAACTGTAAATCCCTCAGAAGGATGCACTTTTGTGCATTTTAAAAGATTTAATGTGTTGTGCAAAGTGAGATTCAAATTCACATACTTGCATTTGTTAATTGTCTGCTCTGGGGCAGGCACTGTGTATGACTAAGAACTGGAGCCAAGAAAGGAGAAGAGAAGCAGCAGTCTGAGGCCATCTTGATACCTTCCTTCCCTTCTGCAAATTCTGTTACATGTTACTTATTGGAGAGAGACCAGCCCTTCTTCACAGCTGGTAGTATTTTCTTCTTAAGTTCTACAATGCCCGAGCCAAAAAGGCCCCAGGTGTGGACCACATAGTGAAGACCCTCTGAAATTGCACTCCATATTGTGGTCCATTTGGGGAATGGAACTTGCAATTATATAGCATTCAGATTCAAAACACTCTTTCTCATATCTTTGCCTGGTTCCAGAACTTCTCTGAATCCTTTTGGAACACATTCTGGCAGAAAGAAGAATGATTAGTAACCTAAATTTAGGGAACTTCAATAATGAACGCATTCACCCCAAGAATCAGGACTAGCCAGGGCTCATTGCAGTTGTTACTAGAGCTAAGCACACATACCTGTTTCAGGTTCTTTCATTATTTTTTGTGCTTTTAGCAAAGGACACACATGTATGCTTGCTTTAGGGTTAAACCCTTCCCACCTGTTGTCATTCCAAAGAAAAGAGATACATGAGAGGTTTCTAACTGGGCATGTCCTGAAATCTCATCTCTTTGATGGAGAATGCTGTAAACTAAGTGGCAGGAGAAACTTATCAATAGAAACCTATCAATGAGTGTCCTGTAAGCTTCTAAGGGTGCTATGCCTGTCATCTACCAGAGATGAAGCAACACCATCGTGGCTGAGGATACTGTTGCTGCTTCATCTGCCTGCCCCATGAGGAGGTGCTGAGTGATCTTGCAAATGGTAGTGGTTCTTATCTTTCACCTCTAAATGTATCTCTTCCATTTCCTATTCCATCTCAACCAGACATTTAGTTAAATGTAAACCAACAGAAAATCTTCATCTAACTTTGCATAGGAAAAAGGTAGTCTTCCTACCCCATCTTCCCTTTACAACTTACTCTTCCTTTTGTTCATGTTCAGCTTTCCTAATAATGGAGGGCAGTGTTAAATCTTGAAGAGCATGCTCTGTTGTGAGGTGTTAGTGTATTGCTGTGTCAAATGCCAGAAAGCACCATGAGATGCCCTTGCATGATAGGGGACTTAGGATGCTTAGCTTAGGGAGTGAGGTTAATTCAACCATGGTTTATGTCCCATGGTCCATTCAACTCCTGACCACTTCATTCCTTTCTGTTCTTTCCTAACCACCTAATAGAAAACTAATGAGTCACCCAGCCAGTAAATCACATTTGAGTTTGTGCAATGTTAAGTAATTTACCCTTTCTTTATATGGGACTTCTTAAATGTTAGAGAGGAGTGTGTGTGTGCATGTATGTGCATGTATCCCTTTTTCCTCTCTAACTTCATTTGAAAGTTCATTTAACACAGAGGATCCCATCTTCTAATTCTGTTGGTCAACATGTGTCATCTTTCACTATTTTCAATGGTAAGTATAAATTATTCCTTTTAAGGACATATGTCCTCTTGAAATCATCTCCTTAACACAGGAGCTTAATGAAGAGCATAACTTGAGTGGACCACATCTGCCTGCATGGTCAAGATGTGTGCAGCATTCCAATGTAATAGTCTTCTCTTTTAATTTTTTTTTTTTCAAAACAGTTTCTAGCTCTAGCTGGAATTGTGGAGTCTCAACTCTTATTACAAATGCACAAAAGCCCACAGGAATTGCTGAGGTATACAGTAAATTCCGTCCAGTGAAGCGAGTTTCCCCACTCAAACATCAGCCAGAGACGCTAGAAAACAATGAAAGTGATGACCAAAAGAACCATAAAGTGGAGTACCCCAAAGTGGGTGAGTCTGACCAGGGCCCCCAGCCTGAGGAGCTCGGCCCTGAAGATGGAGTGGGAGGCTTGCCCAGTAAGAGCTCCGAGTCCAGCACTGCACTGGGCGAACTGGAACATTACGACCTCGACATGGATGAGATTCTGGATGTGCCTTACATTAAATCCAGTCAACAGCTTGCCTCTTTTACCAAGGTGACTTCAGAAAAAAGAATTTTGGGTTTATGCACAACCATCAATGGCCTTTCTGGCAAAGCCTCCTCTACAGGAAGCACTGAGAACTCACCATCCAGTATGACCCCATTCTGTGTTCTTTCTCCTGTGAAAAGCCCTCACTTGAGAAAAGCATCAACTGTCCTCCGCGACCAGCACAAGCTCTCCACTGAAGAGTCTGAGAGCTCACCTCCTCTGGTTACATGTGGCTCTGCATATGAGCCAGAAAGCCAGAATAAAGACTTCTTAAACAAGGCCTTTAGTGACCTGCATAGCCGAAAGATTGAGAAGACAATGCCGGACTGTCAGCTCCGGGGCTTCCACCTGCAATCTGCAGCAACAGAATCCAAACTGGAAGAGCCGGTCAAGGTCATGAGCTGGACCAGCTCCCAAGGCCCAGAAGAAAGGAATGAGTATCTGAAAAAAGTAAAAAGCATCTTGAACATCGTGAAAGAAGGACAAATATCTCTCCTGGTAAGTATCTCTCCTTGGTATACACATTAGTAATCTAGAGAGCTGTTGTTATCAGCTCCATTCTTAACAATGATGTTATGTGCATTTTGCATCTTGTTTAATGTTTTCTTGTGGCTTTGGTTGGTGAGTGACCTCTTGAGTTTTAAAATAAAAAGTTAGGAGGTTAATACAGGGAAAACAAATGGATATTGAAGGAGTGTTATTTTGCACTAACTTTTAAAAATTCAACTCAAATAAAGAGATTTAACCTAAAACAAAGAGAGCCCAGCACTTTTTTTCACTTGAATCTTGAAGTCTTTCTTTTTGCTTTTCAAATGGTTCCCAATGCTCTCGCTCAGTTATTTGTAGGGATGTCAGTTCCTTGCCGATGACAGGCCTGCCAAATATGTGAACAGAGACTTTTCTGTTTTATCCTGATCATTATTCGGGAGAGTTGGGCCAGGATGTTTGCAAAGTATTTGCAGATAGAAGCTTACCCTAGAGCTTGATTGCCCTCTGACCCACATGTAGTTTTTACTTAGTTCCAGCTCTGCATGTCTAGGGAGCTTGAAGGAGTGTTTCCAAAGACTCAAGACACAGAGTAACGCGATGTAAGAAAAGTCTGTTCTGCTTCAGCTCAGAGCTCAACTCAAATAGCACTCCATCTGCCTGCATTGTTCTTTTCTGGCTTCCAGGCATGGATCAAACAGTAGCAAGCCTGGGCTCCTACTACAATGCTGATTAAAGCCTCATTCAAGAAAATCACTGCTTCTTGGTCATGTATTTCTACTTAGTGTTGAAGCCATATGTAGATAAAATATAACGTGCTTGGTCTATTATCACAAACATTGTTGCCATAGACAATATAATTGGATAGTTTAATCAAATAAAGTGGTAATTTTTTTTTCTCCTGAAAATATATTTTCCATTTCTCCTGGTTCCTTCCTCTTATTCTCGTTGGTTTATTCCCTTCCTTTGATCTTACCATGTTTTCATATTTCCCAATTGCGAACACCACTTAGTTCCCCAACAATCTCTATATCAACCGTCACATATTCAGGGAACTCAGTTTCACTAAAGGTGAGAAAACGAAAGTCTAAGTACCCTCCAAATGCCCCCAGGAGCAATAAGGAGATGACAGTATCTGGAGGTGCCCACTAAACACTAGTAGCTGCAGACATCGTGTAGTTTGTAGTCAAAACCAGTTCTCCACAATTCAGACGGGTAGAAACCAGTAGTCTCTTCATTCATTCAGTGGATCTACAGTGGGGAATAAAACAGCCCCAGCCTCAAGGACTTAGCAGTCAAGAGGGGAAGACATGTAGGGGCCCTCCCAGTTATCATGTCACTGCATTTTAGAAAGCCAAATTGAAGCCTCCACAGCCCACTGGCCCTAGCCCTGTTGTCATGTCTCACGTGAAGACCAGTCTCTTGAGAATTCACATTCTGAGGCATGTTATCACAAGGAGTAATGGCAAGGAACACTGACTTTCTCATCCCTACATTGCCATTAGGGCTTCATTAAGCTTATTTCTTGTTCCCAGAGCCCAGAGCAAAACCTCCACAGACTCTTATTCTGATGTGTTGACTTGTTTTCTAATCCTACTGTTTGTACAGCCACATCTAGCTGCAGACAATCTAGACAAAATCCATGATGAAAATGGAAACAACCTGTTACACATCGCTGCATCGCAGGGACACGCAGAATGTCTCCAGCACCTCACTTCTTTGATGGGGGAAGATTGCCTCAATGAGCGGAATACCGAGAAATTGACACCAGCAGGCCTGGCCATCAAGGTGACTGGTTGGGGGCTTGGCTCTCCTCAGCTAAAGTCAGTTTTCTATGTTTTCAAATTCCTTGAAGCTAAAGTATTAGACGGGAGGGAAAGAAGAGTGATTTATCAAGCAAACAGTAATGAACACATCACATGTCAGAGATTACCCATCTCTATCACTAGCTGCTTTGAGATTTTGAGACTGCGTTCCAATTTGTTGTCCAATAAGATTAAGCTCCAAATCAGACAATAGAGAGGAAAATGATCCATTGCAGTGCTAAGGACTTGTGTAATTCATGGTGACTGCAATTTAAATTCTTCACCATACCTGGCTCTATCAGACACTGTGTCATTTTTTCCTAACGTGAGAATAATGAGCAAGACAAATGAGGAAAAGGTGTGTTTTCAGGGATGATAGCACTCGGGAGTATTCAGATAATAAAATAGACTTTTAATGGATCAAATCTGAAGTTTAAATGTCTTCAGGTATCAAAAGTTGTTTTGAATATCAGTGTGGGTTTTGCATTTAGTTTTTGCATAGCACAATATACTGTCAAAAACTACACAAGTTAATGCCAACTAGGATGGAGTTACAACTTACAAACATGGACTTTTATAGTACTGCAGTGAGTGCTCTGTAAAATATAACAGATCATGAGAAGGTTAGCTATTAAACTACAGTTACTTTTAAGATCTTTGGCAAATAAATGTAGAATTCAGTCACATTTATTAAAAAGCCAGAAGTGAAGTTCAAGGAAATATAATACATCTTGCACTTCTGCATATGTACTTTGCTTTCATAATAGTTGTGTCTTCTAAAAGTCAAATAATCATAATTTTTACAAATGGAATTATATTGATGTTGACTAGGGGAACTTGCTAGTTAAAGTAATCTACTTGTGAATTCACTATGAAACATGTTACATTTGAACAACAAACAATTGTTGTCCTACCTCTGATATATCTTTTATACAAATTTTGAATTTTTGTATCTTTAACTTGTTTATCATTCAGTAAAGTTTTATATATTTGCAAATGTGTTCAATTTTATTTATTTTTGCTCAGGGGTGAATAATGACTTCAAAAACAGTATAAAAATAATTTTAATAAAATAAGAAATCTATAACCATAGTGGGTATAATTTTCCTTTGGCTGTGAACAATGCTATGTCAACTCAAGCACTCAACTACAACAGCCACCATAAAGAGATGAAAATTAAATGTGAAGTCAGGGTTTGTCTAGTTGAGTTTATCAGAATGTACTCCATCTATCTAGTACTTAGTTAGACACTGGAGATACATATCTAAATAAGGCATACTCTTGTTCTTATAGAGCTGGCAACCTAGTAGATAAGACAGGTGTGTCATCAGTAACACCAGTACAAGTTGGCAAATTTGAAATCTAGTCCTGTGACAAAGTTCTGTAAGAAAACAGGGGTTACATGTGATCATCAATGGGCATGTGTCAATGACAAATAAAATATTTTTGGAATCCCAGTGAATGTTGACATTTGCCTTGCTGCTTTATTGTTTATAAAAATGTAATTTTCATTATTTTTCATAACTAATGGTAGATAGTAGTTGGACAAAAGCCCATGTTTTTCTTAGTTTATGCACCCTCATGCTAGTTTTGATGGATTTAAAAATCTCTGTGTAGAAAGATACATAGGAAACTTAATGGTTATTAAGCCAATCCTCAGCATAAATACCTCCTACTGTATACATGTATTCAGTGTTCATTCATACCCAATCTCCTGTAGTCAACACAGTATTATTATCATATAAGATATGCATATATCATAAGCAGTCTGCAAAGTTAAACAACAATTTTTTTTTGTTTTTATTTGAATAAAAGACAAATATCCAATTCATAAGACCCAAAAGCTGTTACTGATTTGGCGTCCAGGTTTCTCATTTTTACTTCTGGACAATGGATGTGCTCTTCCACTCCATTACTTAATCCAGAATTTGTAAAAGCAGTAAGAACAAATATTTTATAATAAGTGTCACCCCCACCCCCTTTAGAAATCAGTCCTGATGTATGTCCTGCCTCTCGCCATTCAGTGCATTTTGATAGGCACTGATGAAGTTGAGAGAGCCCTGAGAGTCATCATTCTTCCATTTGGGGGCCTTATTTTGAACACCAGTACCCAGGTGTTTCACCCCATTACACACAGGTCTCAGAGCCCTGATGTCATTAAAGACAAACACACTTGGTACAAACAGGCTGAAGATTCTTGGATAGTATGACTTGGCTGACAGGGAGCAAAGTCAGAGATAAGGTATTATGTGAAAAGATTACCTGAGAAAGGGGATTTTAAAGTCATATCAGAACTTAAGAACATCTCTCCCCCACTCTTAAATTCCTTCAAGGAAACCTAATATATTATGCCAGTTACATGCAGAATTTATTGAGTGCTTTTTGAAAGACCCAACAGTAGATATTTTGAGAGTTCAGGATATTATTGGATTCCTCTGAAGATGGTTAAGAAAAGAAATGAAGAAGAATTTCTAAAATGTCTAATTCTAAAACAATCTTGTTTTCTAAAATGGGATTAATAAGAAATTATTTTAGTAGCTAAAAAGACCTGGAATAAAATGACCTTTATTGCCTAGTTATTCTTCTCTTCAGTCATTCTGATGAAGCCCAAAAGCACAGTGTTGGTCTGGTGATAAGATGACTTCAAACACATAACCTTACTGACTTCTTTTTAACACACTGAGCAACCTCAGACCCAGAGAATTTGATAGGCAAAAATCTCTTGCTAGAATTAGATAATGTTTTGGTTCATTTGTTTCTTTTCTCGGTATTTATATTTATTGCAAGTGATACTGGTTTCAAACTCATAGTGGTGATATAATAATTTCTTCTGCCTTCTTAGTGTTTTATTTATTTTAAATGTTGATTCCTTGAAAAATTACACCTAATAATCACCTAAAAGAACACTCTACCCAATGACAACAGAATACGCGTTCTTGTCAAGTGTACATGGAATTTTCTAAGATAAATCCTATGTTAAGATAGAAAATAAATTTCAGTAAATATTTAAGTATTGAAATACAAAGTTGTGCTCTCCAATCACTATAGAATCTAATTAGAAATCAATACCCAAGGGAAATCTGGATATCCATAAGTGTAAAGAATTAATATACTCTAAAATAATTAATAGGTCAGAGAAGTAACCATAAAGGAAATTAGAAACTATATAAAATGAAAATACAACACTTACAGGATGCAGCTAAAGCTGTACTTAAAGGGAAATTTGTAAAAGATGCAGGAAA